CTCTTCCCGCTTTACAGATTCTGGGATTAAGACATTTATGATTCATGCACACTTTGAATCACTAAAATAATTTGCTTGAGAAAATATTTGTTGATATGGGAAAATATTCACCATCTAATGCTACATGTAGTAACAATAACACCAATACCAGGAAGTCATCCACTGAGATGAGAACCATGGAAATCTCTGGTCTTGAGATGACGGCTGACTGGTGTGTGTGTTTTTCATCTTTCTGCATCACGCGACCTCATAATCGTGAGTGTCTACCCGACGCCCGGATAAACTGGAAGCTGAGGGCAGGGTCTGCATCTACTGTGTTTCTCGATGTTTCCATCGTGCCAAGACCCATGTCAGGCATACAGAAGGCACAGGATACATATTTGTGGAATGAATTAATGAGTGCATTTCTGGGTTGTATGTGCTACCCAATGAGCCTTTGTTACTTTTATCATTTTTGAAAGGTAGGGCGGGCAAATGATGTTCATTAATAAATTGGCTCTACTCTGATGAAAATTCATATTCTTAAATACTTTTATTAGAAAACGAACAACAACAATGACCCACAGAAGTCTGAATATTGTGTGAAGAACCAGGTATTGAACAGAGCTGATCCTGTCGCATCAGTTTCGGAGAGGACATGGTCAAGTCCGGCCCTCCCAGCCATGGGAGGTCTCTGTGTGCACATGGAATCTTCCCCAGGGTCAGCATTGAACACCAGGTGCCTCTGAGAGCCTGAGCCACTGCAGGGCTGCTCTGGCTGGCGGGGGTTGGGATGGACTTTTTATGACATAATATGTGATTATTTATTAATACCCAAGAGTAACTGGGAAGCTTGGGATCAGCCTGCAGTTTCACTGGAAGAATGTAAGTTGCTAGAGGCTGTTCTGAGTCTCTGCTTGCACCCTCCTGAGGCTGCTCATCACGTGAGTGGATTCCACTTTTGGGGAGAAGAATTGCTGTGGGAGCAGCAGGAAAAGTGAGGGAGCTTGGTTGACTGCCGTGTCCCAGCCGGCAGAGGCCTGGTGTCACTCACTGCGAGCCTGAGGTGACGATCGGCAAAGGGTTGTAAATGAGGACGTGAAAGAAGCTCCCCTGGCAGGCGGGTCTACTGCACTGGGGACGTTTGGTGAGGGTGGAGGAGCGAGTGGAGCAAAGGGACGCACAGCAAGCGTGACCACTGCACGGAGGGGCAGCGTTTGTGTGCACTGGTGGGAAGGGAACAGATCCAGCCTCTGGCCGTGGGTCAGGTGCAGCCGCGGCTCCCCAAGGTACCACGTGCGGCACCCAGGCCTCCTCCCAGGATCTGCGACTCCTGTGGGGTATGCGAGTCGGCAATAGGACTTCACGGGCCGAGGCAGAAACCGTGTCCTGTTTCTGGGTCCTTCTAGCAGGTGGCACCTGCGAAAAGCTTGCTGTTTTGTTCACCGATCAGCAGGCGGAGGAAGGCCGATTTAGTCCTCAACCTTGGCTGTATATCAGAACCACTTGGGGATTACAGCTCCCAATGCCCAGGCTCCAGCACTCACATCAGAATCTCTGAGGGTGGGACCCTTTTAAAGCTCCTTCCCCACCTCCAGTTCCACAGCTGATGCCACCAGCAGCGCAGGTCGGGAAGCAGGGATACACCCGAGCTCCAGGCCTTCTTGCTGCCTGTTCTGACCTCATCCTGGCCCTGGCTGACCCCTAGGTGCTCCCTCAGAACTCCGTTTGGGGTGATCCTGGCTGGCGAGGCTGCCTCTGGCCGTCACCATGGTCACCGGCTCTGGCTGATTTCTTGTTAAGTGTAATTTATGAGGCAAAAATTTCTCTCTTCATAAAAATGTTCTATGTTCCTGTCACAAGGGTAATTGAGGCTGTTAGCTTCTGGGCCACAGCCCTCCCACTTCCTCCTGTGCCCAGGGGTATTGCCTGTGGGGGTTAAGTCATGTCCCCAGTGGCGGGGAGGGAGGGCTTGGAGAGGCTGTGAAACACACGCCCAGGCCAGCTGACTCAGCCAAGACTCGAGTCCCCCGAGCACCTCCTCCCACCCCAGGCCCTCCGTCACCCAGACTGGACCTAGCGGGGCAGCGTGGAAGGAAGGGAGCAGAATGACTACTGCTTCCTTGTCCGTAAAAGGGGTGGCTGTTTATTCTTGGGCTTACTGTGAAAGCCAAAGGAGGCCATGAATTTGAAAAATCTGGTGGTTTATTTGAGCCACCTGCCTGTGCTTCTGCTTCCGTGTCTGTCCTCTTCCCACCGGGCCCTAAACACAAGCAGAAAAGCAATTCCTACCCTCCACCCCCTGCAGCAGGAGCTGAGTAAATACTTGAGAACTGAATTCCAAGCAGCTGTGAATTAGGGCTGTTGGGGATTTTAGGCCCATTTCCTTTACCTGCCAAAAAGCTCTTGTTCCCTCTGATTGCAGACCACAGCAAGGGCTTTCCCTGTGCCTGAGATGGGAACCCCCAGAGTGGCAGGCTGAGTGGCCCTCACAACCAACCCCTCAGGCTACCTTCTCACCTCACCTGCACCCCTCTGTGGTCATCAGACTTAGGAATAAAATATATATTATTCTTTCAGTGGGCAGAGAAGGAAATGGGGAAGTAGTGCTATTTGTCCAGGTTACAGAGCTAGTTAGTGCTTAGCAGGTGAGGGGGGGGCAGGTCCTCTGACTGGAGGGTGAGGGCACTCTCTGGAGGGCTCCCTGGGAGTGGAGTCTTGGAGGGAGGGAGCTCTGGTGTTGGGAGCTTGGGGTCAGGGGCAGAACTCAGGTCTCCAAGGCCTGGACATGGGGTGCCAGGGTATCTGGGAAGAGACAGGATGGGACATGAGCTTTCAGAGCTGGTCCAGGCCAGTCCCGCTGTTTCAGGGCAGCACAGACGCCAACTCACCAGGAAAAAACGGCCAACTGCGACTAACCCGTGGGTTTTGTCCTCTGGAAAGAGCCTGGCAATGCCACATCTGCTCTGGTGGTTGGCTCTGGAGACGGCAGCAGGGGAGTCAGGCTGAGTGTGTGAGAGGTGGGGAGGGTTTGTGGTCCTGGCTCTCCCAGCTACCTGCGGGTGATCCTGGGCCCGGTTCCTCAACTCTCCATGCCTCAGTGCTCCCATCTGTAAAGGGTGGGTAATAGCGTCATTCTTGGTGGGCTGTTTGGAAGATTAATGAGCACATGAAAGGTCCTTACAAAGTTCCTGGCCCAGGGCAAACACTTTGTATGCGTCTGCCATGCTCAACAAATCTGAATGCATTGGCCTTTTTCCAGGGGACAGGGGACAGCAGAGCCCTCTGTCTCGGGTTGCTTCTCTCACAGTCCCACTTGCCCTTGTCCACAACCCAGCTCTGCCCGATCAGGGTGGACGGCCACATGCAGGCAGCCCAACCCAGGGCTCAAGTTTAACTTAATCAGGCGCGGAGGCTGCTCTGTCTATGCTTTTTGTCATTTGTTTGTTTCTTTGGTGGTGTTTGGCCATTCTGACATGGGTGAAATACTGCACTATTTTTGTTTTAGTTTGTATTTTCCTGAATACCAATTTTAACTCCACCAGTGTATTTATTTTGCTTTCCTTCCGGTCTCCACTCAGAGACATTTATAATTTTGACTAGTGTGTAATGAGCTTTACAGTTTTCAAAGCCCCTCACATAGAAGAGCTAATGCAGTCCTGTGCCGCAGGAGATGGAGTTCGCTTGTGTTCCCACTTCAGGAAAAAGGAGGTCAACGACGTGAGTGCCGTTTCTGAGGTGCAGCTGGCCTTGTACGCTGATTCCATGTCTGAGCCTGCACAGTTCTTTCCCCCCAAATACTTTCCCACCTGGCTATTGACGCAACTCCATACTTACAAACTTTACATTTTTTTTACTTCATATTATTTCAAAAAGGTGGTTTCCTTTTTTTTTTTTACACTGTCATCTGCCTGTCACTTGAATGGCTGCACAATATTTTACCAGGATTTACTCATTAGCCTCAGGTTATCACTCATTTAGGCCACTATGGTTTTGCTGTGTTAGAAGCAGCTCTGTTGCAGCCTCTTGGGGCCAGAGCAGTTTTCTTTCTCGAAATTCTTTCCTTAGAGTGAATTTGCAGGAATGGGACTCAGGACTCAATGAGAGTGAATGTCTTCATGGCTCTGGATTCACCTTGGTGTCACTGACATCCAAAGGAGCCCGGACTGTTTACTCACTATCCATTAATATATGCATTCATTGCTTTGTCTAGCCGTCCACCCACCTACCCACTCGATAAACACTGCAACTCCTCTGTGCCTTACATGTCTTGTGGAAGTCCCAGATAGAGTGTGTGTCCCGGTGTGTGAGTGGGTGTGGGTATAGGAGAGGAAGTCCCTGCCATGCCCCACAATCCATCACCCAGTTTCTATTCTTTTCTTACACTAGTCCCTGCTGCAGCCCTGGCTGCCACCCCCCCCCCTCCCCCGAGCAACATTCCCAGGGTCTGTCCCTGCCTACGGCCCTCAGCAGACTCCCTCGTTGATACTGGCCATCTTGGCTCCCTCGGCTTCCCTTTGCTTATTTTGGAAGATCTGGCCATTTAGCTGCGGCCTCTGGAGTCATTTGGCTCCAGCTGTTGCCCCAGGGCCGGGCTGGGGGAGGGTCCGGGCCTGAGGCAGCCAGCCTGAGTTGGGGGGGATGGTGGTCAGGTCCCTGGGGGAGAGAGAGGCCAGCAGTAGCTCTGGGACATCTTCAGAGGACAGTGGCCTGTTGTGGGAGACTTGACTGTGGGTGAGTTGGCCCTTGTCACCCCTTGGAAGATCATGTGATATTTCTGAGATATTCCATTCCTTCCATCTATAGCTGTGGCCCACTGTCACATGTGGGCACAGACAACTAGGTTCTCAGTGATCATGAATGATGAATTGAACCGAACACACAGAGAGTTCATAGCAGAAAGAGAGGGAGCAGATTTACTAAGTGATAGTACACTCCACAGAACATGAGAGCAGGCCAACTGCAAGCAGAGACTGACCTGCAGTGGCCGGAGGGATTCTGTTCTTACAGGGAGGATATTTCCTGGCTGGTTTTGGTGGACTTTTATTGTACAAGTACAAGTAGTTACATTACTTTTAAGCTACTGCACATGTAGTCTGCCATGATTTTCCTTGATTGCCCACTGGGGAGGAGGGGGTCCCACAATGCTAATTTATTATAATGCTGCTATAATGAAGAAGGGGTCATGTATCATCTTCCGTGCAGGCGCAGTCATGATTCACTGTGATTCAGTTCTTTTCCAGAAAGCGGGGGCAACCAGTCCTTGAACAGACTCTCTGTCCTGTGTCGATGTCCTTTGTCCTGGTCCTGGGGCATCTCCAGTGTTTCCTCACTCCTGACTATCTCCTGCCTCACGCCAACCCCACTGGAAGGGGCTCTCCTTTTTTTTCTCCCAGAGAATTTTGACAATGAGGTGTTTTTAAAATAAAAAACCCCTCTCTGTTTCTTTATGAAATAAGTTCAATATTGCCTTGGTAGCAAGTATAGGTAAGCAATAAGGAAAATCATCTCTGATTCCAGCACCCAGGTGCTGACATAGGGTGAGCACCTGGGGAGGGACGCTGGTGTGGCTCACTCACAGGGACTTTGCTGGGTCCAGAAGGGGATGAGGCTCGAAGGCGTGGAGTAGGCCCTGGATTTTTCTGTGTCCCTAGGGGCTCCAAGGAGAGAGGTCATGAGCCTTATCTTCAGACCTGGACTCAGAACCTGACTCTGGCTGGTTGTGTGATCTTGGACAAGTCACCTAACATCTCTGAACCTCCCCTGTCAAATGGGGACAATGATATCTACCTCCTGGGATTAAGTGGCCATGTCTTGTGCCTGGCACATGGTAGTAGCAATTCAATAAGCATCAGCTTCTCCCCAGAGAGTTTGGGCTTTCTCCTGTGAAGCCATATTTTAAGCAGGGAAGGGAAAATGTGTTTCTTGGAACAGATACTTTGAAAACCATTTGCAGGATCATAGGATGCAGTGCTGATAAGGTGTGAGGGAACGTTCATGCTCATCGGCTGCCTGAGGGGGCTGAGGAAGGGTTCTCTGCTACGATCTTTTCTCTCAGGGCAGTTATGCATTAAAAAAAAAAACAACTAAAAAAAAAACCCCACCAGAAACCCAGTGCCTACCCTTTAGTTCAGTAATGCTAGTGTAAGTAACTTGTCTAATGGAGATCATCAGGCAAGATGTATGTACAATGGTATTCATTCACAATGTTGGTTTCAGTGTAAAAATGGCAAATAGGCCAAATGCCCAACTGGGCACATGCCTCTAACTCTGACACTCCCTTACAGTGGAAGCCCTGCCTGCAGTAAATGAAGTTCTAGATCTAGGTTTATTAATACGAAAAAAAATGTTGGCAATACATTTTTGAATAAACATTAGGTTACAGAGAGTGGATTTCATATTTGTATATGTATCCATGTTTGTATAGAAAATGTTTTCGGAGATTCCTAAGGCCCTCAAGCTTGGGTTAAGGCCCCCTAGATTCCTTAAACTGCGTTTCCTGAAGCCAGCTCCAGGGGGCGGTAGTTACCAGTAGCCAAACATCACAACCAATTCAGAAACAAGCCCTTCGGCTTGGCAGGGTTCGTGTTCTTCAGAATGCTCCACAGAGCAGAAAAGAGAGGGCTTCCTGCCTCGGCTTCCCCAGGAGAGGTATCTGAAGGAGACCAGCTGCTCTCAACCCTGTAAGCCGAGGGGAATTTCGGCTTCTACACAGGAGAGTCACCAAGGTTATAACCAGCACTTTCCACTATCTGTGTAGGGAACAGAGAAGGGCAAGGTCAACATTGGCATTGGGGCATTAGCCCAAAAGTATTACAAAGCACCCATTATGTGCACCCAGTGTGCTAGGTGTACAAAGATAAATGAGCCACAGCTGTGCCCTTAGGAAGCTCAGTCCGGTGGGGAAACAATCCGAGAGGAGGGGGACACTGAGAAAGAAGAGTGCCCTGCTGGGGGTGGGGGGCTGAAAGGCCTCACTGAGGAGGTGACCCCGGGCTAGGCTTGCAGGAGGAGGACAGGTGCGAGGCGGGGAGCAGCAGGAATGGGGCTGAGGCGTGGAAGGGCAGTGTGTTCAGAAAACCTCCCTGCACCTCTGGGCTCCTGCTTCTTTCTTCTCTCTTCTGGCAGCTGCTTTCTCTGCCTTCCAGCCCACAGAGTGGGGAAAACAGCCACCCACAAGCCTCAACTTTATGTGGCTTCTGACTAGGGGACAGTTGGACCTGCCTGTTCTCCTGGCCCCAGGCTCAGGGCTGGAGCCGCTGGGGAGAGGCAGCTCTGGTCCTTGTTGGCAAAGTGGAACCTTAGTCCCAGTTCCCATTTCCTGGTTCTGGCCTTGTAAACTGTGTCCAGGGGCAGGGGCAGCGGACATGCTTTTTGGAAAGAGTTGACAAGTGGTGGGTGAAGGGCGGCTCCCAAGCAGAGGGAAGGGGTAGGTGCGGCGCCGAGTGGACAGCCCTCCACCCCCTGCACCGTGAGAGATGGGTCCCCAGGCTGCTGCCTGTGCTGCCCACGCCCTGTTATCTCTAAGACACGAGACTGTGATTGAAGGGTAAGCTTGTGATTCCCAACTGTGTTAGGAAACAGTAATTTTCCAGGTACGTGCTGCCCCATGTGCACTCGAGGGGCCCAAGCATGCACGTCCCCACATGCGTGCACGTCCACACGTGCACACCACACGCACAAGCACATAAACCATGTAAACTCACATGCGAGCCGAGAAAAGCCAACTTCTCCTGCAGCCCGACTGCTTCCTCCCAGGATCATCATCGACACAAACAAAGCAGGGGTGACTCATTGCCTGTGACTCACTTCGCTGCAGGCCCTCAGGTCCTGCAGCAAAGGGCAAACATCTCATTACTTGTCCTTTATCATTGTTTGTCCTTTGTGTCCTCTGAGATGGAGGGTCCTCTCACCCAGGGGAGCCCCGAGGGAAGCAGACAGTAATTGAAGAAATGAAGAGCATCCTGGAGAAGCTCCCCTGACTGCTGCCCTGAGTGGTGGTGGGGTGTTACTGTAGGAAAGGATTTACGGGAGATGTATTTCAACACAGCATTCCCCACCAGGCATTCAGAACAGGGTATGATTACCCCAAAACCGATTTCCTGGCACCTTTTCAGGAATCTGTTGATTGCGCAAAGTGAGGTTGGAGTGTTGGGGGTGAGGAATAGCCTAGTGCAGGGCAGAAATTCCAGTTGAAAGGTCAGAGAGAGTCTTGGGCCATCAGAGTCACTTCCTACCACCGCCTGGAGCACATCCCTGATCCCTTGACATTGCCTTTTCCTCCCTCTGCCTCTCCTGCACCTGCCTGCTCCCCACGCCCCAGGCTCAGGGCTGGAGACTGCGGGGAGGGGCTGCCCTGGTCCTGTGGGTGGCTTGGGTCTCTTGCTGTGTCTGAGAACATTCCTTCCCTGCCATGGGTATTTATCAAGCATTCACGGTGGGCCCTGTGATATTCCAGGGTAATGGAGGCATGTGAGAAGCTGGCCATTTAGCTGGGAGCCAAGAGTCCCATGTGAGGGTGGGGGAAGATTGCCATTTGGGGGCCAGGCTTCAGCTTAGAGAAGAGGCTGCTGGACTCCAGAGTAGGCTCCCACAGCTCTGGGTGGCCAGATACACGAGTATGAAGCCAGAAACCACTATGATTCCTGGGGAGTATGGTGGATATTTTGATCCACTGGGGCCTGGGCTTCAGCCCTGTGGGCACTCAGAGCTGTGTCACCTTCTCCCAGAGTCATGGAGACAAGGAGCTTGGCAGTTGCTTGATGAAGTGGTGGTGGCTGTAGTGGCGGTGGAGGGGCAGTGGGGGCTAAATTTGCATACTAAGCCTGTGGCACTTTTAGGAAAGCGCAGATCTGCTCTGAGGATTTATGTTACTGAAACAGTCTGAGCGTACCAGGTAGTCCTGGGATGGAGACCTAGGCACACGGAAGGGCTGTGATGGCCCAGAGATGCAAGTCAGTGTAAGGGGAAAGGAGATGAAGGCCGTGGGCTTGCCCAGCTGCCCGGAGGGAGGAGTGCACTCCAGGCCCAGTCTGTGTCGGGCTCTCTCAGGCCCGTGTCCCCACCCGGCTGGAACTGATCTGATGGAACGTTTCCCTCAGAAGTGACAGGTCCTTAACTCAGGGCTCTGGGATCAGTGCCCTGGGGAGGGGCCAGTGGGGCACTTGGTCTATAAAGGAATGAAAGTGAGCCACCATGGGCAGAAACAAAGGCCTAGAGACAGCTCTGCTTTTGTTTTTTTTGTATTTTGAGTAAGTTGACAAAACACCCTGAGCCGGGCCAATGGAACTCAGGCTCTCGGCCCTCTTGACAGATGCCTCCTTGAGTGCTGACACCCCAGAGTGTCAGGGTTAGTGGAACATGCTGTAAGTCCCAAAGAGGAAAAACAGTCGCCCAACAGACTGGAGCGGAGGATGCTGGGAGAAGAAGGGAAGGAGCCCCTCGAACTCTGGCAGGTACTGCCCTTCAGAGAGGACTCAGGGGGTCTTCTGGGACTCTGTTCTAGAAGGCTGGAGAGGTGGGCTCCAGGCCTGGCTCCATCCTGCCCCTTGGGGGACCTTGGGCCACTCACGGCCCCTCTGTGCCTCATCAGTGCCATGAGCACACAGCCCTTAATTTTTCCTATTGTTGGGAGTACGCTTATTACTGGGACCCCTGCCTGGGAGCTCTGCTCCAGCACCCGGCCTCTTCCTGGCTTGTATGGGCAGGGGCCCTCTGAGACCTCCGTCCAAAGCAGACTTTCTCAACCTGGCGTGATGGACATTTGGGGCTGAAAACTCTTGGTTGTGGGAGCTGTCCTGAGCATTTCAGGATGTTTAGCAGCGCCCCTGCCTTCCAGCCATTAGCTGCCACTAGCACCTTCTGGCACAACAACCAAACCATCTCAAGACTCGGACAAATTGCCTCTGTTGAGAACCATGGGTCTAAAGGGAGAGCTTGAGTGGAGCTGAACCCAGAGACTGGAAATGACTGGACCGGTGGGAATTCGGATGGGCCCCTTCATCTCCCACCAGGTCCTCAGCTTCCTGACTCTTGTAATGGGGGCCAGAACTCCGGGCCTTGGAGAAGGGGAAGAAAGTTGTTTGGACCCAGAAAGCTGTTGTAAGTCAGGGTGGATGGGCTAGGGGTCACAGCGTCTCTCACCAGGACAGCGCTAGGAGAAAGGGCACGCAGTCAGGGCAGCTGGGTGTGGGGAACACAGGCTTGTTTCCTGTGAGAATGGTTTTATTGAGTGTGCAAAAACACACCTAGCTCACAAAACACACCTAACTGGCTTCTGGCACCATGGCGAATCTTCCTCTTCCCAGCCACTTCTGATAGTTTCTGCTCCTGCTACCTCTCTCGCTTGGATCACAGCTGATTCCACGCCCTCCTCGCCATTCCCACCATCATACCATGGGCCAGCCCTCCTTGCTTCTCACTGGGGCTATTGCAGTAGCTCCCAGAGCTTTCCCCGCCTCCACCCTCGCCCCCTTCCAGCCCTGTCCCTGATCTGTCTGTCCTTCACAGCGTAGTGTTTTTGCTGAGAGACAGACCTTCATACCATATTCTCCTGCCTAAAGCCTTTTGATGGCTCCCTAAGGCCCTTGGGATGAAGCTCAAGCTCTTAAGTTTGCCCCCCTGCCCCCCTCCCCCGCCGCCTTTGTGCTTTGCCCCTCCCCCACACCCCCCACATCCTCGGCTTCATCCCTGCTGTTCCTCTTCTTATTCATTCCGTTCCAACCCCTTGCAGTTCTCCCCTGTGCCGTGCAGTTTCATGCCTTCACACATTCTATTCCCTCTGCCTAGAGGAGTTGTGAGTGTGTGTGTGTGTTGGTTTACCTGTTGAACTCCTATACAACCTTCGGAACCCAGCTTAGGACCCATCTCCTCTGTGAAACTTTCTCTGACCCTCCTGAATGAGCAAATCGTTTCCTTCTCTGTGCCCGTCTAATCCTACTACACGGCAAGAATTTCTGGAGGGAAGCTCCCTGAGCCCAGCGCAGAGCCAGATACATGCCGCGGCCCAGGCAGTTTGCTGAGTTGAATTTAATCCAGAGGCAGAAGGAGACTCAGCCCCTGATCGGGAGGCAGAGGCCTCACCTCAAGGAGGTTCTGACTTGCTAAGGGAGAAAAGCTGCCCTTCTCACCACCGCAGCTTGTGGGACCCCCAAAAATAAGCCACCGCAGGGACACATAACCACTAGCCATGTGCCACAAACTGGGTTCTGAAGTGGAATTTCAGAACCGTGAAGTGGAAAGGGGGCTCTGAGGTCCAACATTCTTGTTTACAGGCAAAAACACAAAGAAGTGACATGACTTCTCCTAGACATCCAGGTGCCCAGAGACTGGACTGGACCAGAATGCAGGCCCTTGCAATCCCAGTTTGGGGACGGTGCCACCCTGAGGAGTAGCCCTGACTTTGCTGAGCTGTGGGGTGGGGCTCAGCCTCTGCCCTTCACCCCTGGGTGCTCATGGGCTCAATGGGAGCCCAGTACCCACTCCCAAGGGAGGCAGGGTGGGTGTCCCGCCGCCCAGTGTCGACACACAGCAGGTCTTCACAGAAGCCAGACACCTCTGGCTCTGCAGGGGAGGGCGCCAGCACTGAGGCCAAGCGGTGCAGAATCAGGAAGTTTGTCGGGGGCGAGGAGCCAGGATTTACAACAGGAACTGCTGCTTCCTGAGGACACTGTGTTCCCGGAGGCCACCCTCCTCTCTCCTCAGAACCCCATCCACCCCAACCCACCCCCATGCTGTCACCCATGGCCGCAGGTTCAGCCTCTGCTTCCGGATCTGTGTCCCCAGCCACAGCCGCCCTCCTGAGAACCCGCCCCACATTCCCACTGGCCAGCTGGAGCTTGGCCTTGGCTGTCACATCCTTACCCCAAAGGCTGAAGGTCTGGAACACGGGCGGTTTGTCAGAGCTGCCCTGGTGTCGTTACAGCTCATATCAGAGGACAGGAAAGTGTTTGATCTGAGTCCGGGCGCTTGTCAGCTCCACAGGGCACAGGACACGTGCTCCCTGTCTACCCCTCCACCGCTGCTCCCCTCCCCCACCATCTGTCCTCTGCCCCCAGTGTCTCCATTGTTCTTGGACTTGTCTCCCTTATTATTAAGTCCAGTACCGTTGGCACTGGGTGCCATGTGTTGGGGAAGTGCATGGGTTTTTCAGCGGCAAACTCTCAAGGGCCAAAGACACACACTTTTTTGTCTCCATAGGCTCAAGGACAGAGCCTGCCCTCCTTTTCTCTTTCTTTGAAAATAAGTTTTCACAGCATGGCTGCCACCACTCTCTGCAGATGTCAGGGTGACATTGGGACGGCCATTGGATTGGTGGATGTTAGACCAGAGCACCAAGAAGTACTCAGATCTTTCCCAGCCTCTCAGCCCTTCACAGAAAAAGGCAAAACAACGTAAGAGGAGACTTTGTTGCTGGCTGGAGCTTTGAGCCCAAACCTAGGAAGCAACGTGGGACCACCATTTTTCTCAGAGAGTCAGGCCCAAGAGCCATGAACCAAAGGACCTCTTCTCCCTAATGCCACTGAGTGTGAGGTGAGCAGAGGCCAGCCCGGGTCAGTGAACGGCCCCACCGTGTGGGGCCCAGGGTCCCGGCGGCCTGCCTGGAAGCAGGCTTCCCGTCACCTCCTCTGAATGGAGCAAGCTGGGGGTGGGGCAAGAGGAAGGTGCAATAAGGGGCTTTCTAGGGTTACTTGCAACAAGTGGGGAGAAAGACACCCCAGAGAAGCATCTGTTCTACGGGAGAGTGAGAGTTCCTCTCTGGACTCCGCCCTGGCTGGGAATCCTTCAGGCCTGGCCTACAAGGGTCCATGCCCTAGTGCATCAGGTCTTTTAAATGGCATGATGACCCTACCCACTATCATGAAGGCAGTGGAAAGGGAGAGAGAGAACTTTGTTCCTTTTCAAAGCCAAGGGCCACACCCATGCCTCCCTCCCCTGATATATATGCCTGGCTCTTTTTTGCAGCCTGTTCCACAATGACCTAGGAGGTGTTCTCTTTTTCCCAAGTGTCCTAAGACCACTGTGGAAAATCAGGTAGCAGACAACAAAAGGCACAGATGTGGGAGGTCACAAGCATTCTACTGTCACCAACTCTTTTCCTTAGAGGAGGCCCAGGATGCTTGGTGACCGCCGACCTTGTGGCATTGTGTCCTAACTGGGTGACGTCCCTTTCCCACATCTCGGATTTCTCGGATTTCCCCAACACGCCTTCAAAAATTTACTCAGGTAAAAGGCATGGCAAGGCCAGTGGCGAAGTGAAAAAATGCCAGCTGAGGACTCAGCCAGACCTGGATCTCGATCTCTGTCTCGTCACTTCCTTTCGGTGAGATCTTGGACAAGTTCTTTGCTCCCTGGGCCTGGGTTTGCTTATCTGCGAGATGAGGGCGTTGTCTTCCAGGGTGGTTGTGAGATTCTGCTGCGATGCCACGTAGGGACAACCTGTACTGTGCCTCCTGGCACCAGGTGCCCAGTGAGTGGTTACAAACAGCTGCTCTAGGTTAGAAAATGGACACAAATAATAGTAATAATAAACACTGGCATTTAGAGAACACTTACTATACACCAGACACTAAAGCTAAGGACTTAAATCTATTTGTATTTAATCCAAGAACAGCTCTATGGCATGTGTACTATCATTTATCCCCATTTTCAGAGGAATTTGGGGCACAGAGAGGTAAGTAACTTGTTCAAGAAGCAGAGCCAGGATCTGAACCAGAGACCTGGACTGCAGAGTGGTCATTCTAGGAAGGGGCAGCAAAAAGGGTCAGATGTGAAGCTGGGGCACCAGAGTTTTGTCTGTTCTTACAGATGAGAACCCTCTGAAGCACGTGGTCAAGACCTCCAGGTCCATCGCCTTGACTGCAGGCGGCGTGCTGAGCCATCCCAGGTGGGTGTCGGGTGGGGAGAATGGCCTCTCCCATCCTTCAGAGTCTCTGCCAAGAGAGATCTTCCAACCTTTTGCCCAACTCTGATACACTCCAGGCTTCTTAGGCCCAGAAAACGGGAGGTGGGGATCCACAGTGGCAGCATCTGGTATCTCAGAATATGGAGGGAAGGGTCCTCTGTAGTATTCACACTAAGGATGTGCATGAGGAGCTGGGACGGCAGCGCTGCTGACTTGCAAAAGATATCTGCTGGCATGTGGACAGTGTGAAGGGAGGCTTGTAATTGGGGCCATAAATCAAATGCAGACAGAGGAAAACCTGTCAGACTTTTGGAGTGGTTTTTTACAGAGGTGGAAAAATGCAGCTGTGAGGTGTTAGCTGGGCTGGCTGGATGTTGGCAGAAGTGGGTCACCATGGAGTGGAGGAGGGTCCCCTGCCCCAGACAACTATTGCTGTGGCCTTCACTTTTAGGATGACAAAATAGCCATTCCCCAGAAAAGGAGGCACCTTCGTCATGGAGCTGTTCTGGGGGGGAGTGGACACTGTGAAAAGCTGGGTTTATTTTTAGCACTTTTGTTCTCTTCTTTTGGGTTTGAGTTCCAGCTCTGCCACTTAGAGCTCTGTGCCCTTTGGCAAGCCTCCTAAAGGGAAATGACTATGTGTGTTTGGTGCTTACCATATGCCAGCTCCTAGGGTTGGCCGCCTCAGCTGGAGTGTAGGTTCTTTCCACCAACAGAACCTCATTTAATTCAAGCACCCACTTTTCCCTAGCCAGGCTGGTGCTTCAGCCCAGGCTGGGCCCATTCTTAGCTCTAGAAGTGGGTCCTGACTAGTTCAAGCCAATCGTGGTCATCCCATTCCTCTTATCTGGAATGGGCTTGGGCATGGCCAGACCACCCAATTTAGGCCAGTAAGGTAGAAGGGGATGTTTATTAGGGCTGCTTAAGGGGAAGCTCTTCATCTCATTCTTACTGGAAGAAAGCATCTCTTAAACCTCTGGAGACTATGCCTAGAACCACCACAAGCATCTAGTTCCCAGCCCAAGGCTGACAATAGCATTGAGGGGAGCAGAGCAGAGAGGTAGAAGGGACCTGGGTCCTTGACAATGTCACCAAGCTGCTAAATTAACCATGGCTGGAGCCAGCCTCCCTTGTGATTTCCTAATACGTGACATTGTTTGAGGCATTTTGAGCCGGGTTTTCTGTTAAGGGCAGTGAAGTGTTCCTGCTACTTCTTGCTTCACTGAAAAATGGGTAGGAGTATGTTCTCTGGCCAATGTTGGACAGTCCCATAGCTGGGTTGCTTGGTCCCTGTGGTATCATTCTCTTTTAGCTTGTCACACAACAAATCACCCCCTTAGGTACAAACACATCCCTAGGGTGGCAGGGTTCAAGACGGGTGGGTTCAAGTAACAACTACTTTGTCTCTCCAGTGCTCAGGCTGTTTGGCTAGATGGGACTCATTATGGCAGATGCGTTCTCCCAAGCAGACATACAATGATCTTAGGGAAGTACCTGTTGGATGAACATCCTTCCCTGCTTGTTTTATGTGTGCTTGACTTCAGTATGTGATACTACCTGGAATTATAAGATATTTTGCATGTAAGCTTGTGTTGAACTACATTGGTGAATTACTAACCATCTATTGTCTAGTTTTGCCTTGGAATGTACTGTGCTTTCTGAATGTATACGAGGACTGAAGACACCTTTGGAGATCTCTGGCTTTCCAATAAGAAAAAAATGAGGCATGGCCCTAATGGGAGTCTGCCAGCTCAGCTCTTTGCCTGGGGGAGGAACTAATTAATGTCCAGCTGTCTATTCTTTCTCGTGTCAAGAAGAAGATTAAAGGCTCATACCTCACCTCCCCCCACACTCCCAAGACAGCAGCTGGGGTCATGGAGGTGTTACAGAACAGATGTGTGTGGGGGGGTGATTACTAGCCCACCCAGGGATGCCCAAAACTGTTACAGAACACACACACGGGGCCAAGGGGGGTACGATGTACTATTACTGAAAGGACCCCCTGCTAGGTTCCATTGTCCGCTGCCTCAGGAAAGATGTCTCTCGATGCCAGAGATTTGTGAAAGGAAAAGAAAATGTTTATTTAATGCTGTACAGACTTAAACTAGTGACCTAACATCTTAATTAAATTATCAAAGTCCTTTTGGATACCCATAGACACCCACAGTGCTTCCTTCTCCCCCTGCCCTAATTTGGCGTACCATAACTCCGGAGAAGAAGTAGGCGTTTATGATTCAGGTTGCCAGCACCATCAGCTGTGTCACTGTCCAGGCAGGATCTCTAATTAATCCAAAGCCATGTGGCACCTTCTCATGGCCTACTGGCAAGAGTTTTTTCACCCTTCTTCCAGGCAAAGTGTCTCCTGCTTTCCAGGCCATGTGGCCAAGGGGAGCATCCTAAAGCCACGTGGTTCTCTTCTACCAAAGTTGTGGGGATCCCCACTCTGGCCAAAACCACATGGTTCTTCTTCTTTCCACCAGAGCTGCAGGGAGGGAGGGGGTCGCCATTCTGCCAAAGCCGAGTGGCAGTTCTCTGCTAAAGCCGAATGGTGATTTCCCTCCCACATGGCTGCGAGGGTGCCCACTCTGCCAGAAGTGCATGGCTCTCTCTTCAATGGCTGCCACGTCTCAGTTTAAATGCCTGCGCCAATCCTCCTCTGCAGCCCTATTTCTGACTCCTCCCACAATTACTACACTTGCCAGCACTCCCATATCCTTCCTGCCATAGTGGGTCTGGGCAGGCGTGGCCCCATGGCATGGAGCTAATCATTTCCAAGCTCTCACTTAGTGCTGTAACCAGGGAGAGTTGCCTCTCAGTTATGTCTTGGGTAGAAGTCACTTTCATCCCCCTGGCTCAAAGCATGGCCACAGCTATTTAACATATCTCTGAAACCAGTTAAATGTTATAGATATGTTAAATGATAATGCCAGAGGTTAGTTGCAAAGCTGTGGCTGTACAAAACAGCTCTGCATGTTCCTGTTCCATGTGTCCCTTCCCTCAACTCACTCCTGAGGGGGAGAAGGGGTGAGGACATCT